TCCGAATTGGCATTTTGTAACGCAATTAGTTTTTACCCCATTTCCAACATTTATTTTCTTCTTTTTTTATTGGCACAGACCTTAGCTATACGTTTCAACTAACGATTGGGTTTGAAACTTTTCTTCGGAATCAAGTTGATACGGTGTACGTGACAGCTGCAGCAGTGGACACGGGCCAAAGGATACGTGGATGCTTGGAGCGGGCTAAGCTTTCCTGCCATTTCGGTTTGGCCGCTTACAGCTGCTGCTACCAATCCCGCTGTTATCGTTTTTTATGGGCCGACCGCCTTTATGCGCCCGCATATTAAACAATTATTGCCAAATGGCAAGCGACAGCTGCGTTGTGTCGCCAATGTCGTTAGTGTGGGCAGCGGCAACAGCAGCAGCAGCAACAGTGGCAGTAGCAACATCAGCGGCTGTGGCAGAAATGGGGTATACAGCAGTATCCTGGCTGGCCTGGACGAATAGCAGTAGGCCTCCTGCTTCTCTTTTTTTGTTATTTTTGTTATTTTTGCTTAACAGAAGAGCAAAGCAGAACATGGCCAGTAACGGCTCTTGCACTGGCTTACTGGCTTTCGGTTATTCGTCGTCGTTCGTGTTGTTGCTTTTTTTCCGCGCTTCAGCGTCTGCTGCAATTTATGTGTATAAATGACAAAAGTACCGTTATTTATGGCCAGCAACCGCAACGCAATTTGGCAACACTTGTTGGCCAATTGGCAAAAATGTGAAGGCGGGAACTCAGCTCAGCTGAGCAGCATCGAACAGAGCCAGGATTCTCTGGGCAATATAATGTTTATATGTCTATCGACCTATCTACATATCTAATATAAGAAATTGCAGGAATCTAAATGGGAGAACATCCAGGTGATTGAGATTTGTAAGCCCTGGAAGTAGGGGTAACTAAGACTGATTATCAAAAAAAAAATATATGTTACAAGTTTCAAGACCTTATTTAAAATTATATATTTTCTTCTAGTCTTTCTAGCCTCACTAGCTTTTTACTTAAGTTAGCCTTACAGGGTATATCTCCTTAAGGAACATCCTCACTTGACAACCTACATTTTTGTGCTCTCTGTGCAAAATTTGAATTTTTATTGCTGATCGAAGCCTGCAGCATATTATGTGGCATAGCTACTGGGCCCGCCCCCTCCTCTGCCCAAATTATGCGTATTAAGGTCGTTTTGCTGGGCGGTGGATGGGCGGATGTATCTCGGCTGCTTGATAGCTTGTTGCCGACATAAATTTGAGGCTGCTTCTGCTGTTGCTGATGCTGCTGCTGCTGTCTGTCTTTCTGTGTAAATGTGCCAAATGCGCTGGAAGCTCTACCAGCTTCTTCGATATTGACTTGACCCTTCTGTTTTGTTGTCGCGCCTTTTATTATGCTAATATTTTTAGGGCATTGCCAAGATTTATTGAAATGGCTGCGGCAGCTCGTCCATAAACGCAAGCCAATCCCCCGGAGAATGTCTCCTTCCGTCCCAGGCGAAGGTGCAAGGTGTCCCCCTCGTGCCATTTAAGCCACCGGCCACATGGCGCATACGCGATATTCGGAGTGGGAGGTGAGTATTAGATTGTTTTGCAGCGCAGGGCCAGAGGGGACCTTGGGGCCACAACAATTAAATTGTCATTTTGTTGGTGCAACGCTTGTTGCTACTTGTCTCGCCTCGTGTTGCATAATTGGCAACGTTTTTGCAATTAAAACAACTAATTGGCAGCAAAAACTATTGGCCAGCAGCAGCGGCAGCAGCTGCCAGCCTGCGAAGGAAAATGGTTGGGCTCAGTAAAAAGCAGGAGAAAAATTAGTTTCATAAATTTCTAGAAAAAGTTAAAACAAAGCGGCGGTGGCTAATGGAAATACAAACAAAAAACATGATACAATGTTTTTACAAAACCATGGTCTATGGAAAATCACACAAAATTATAGGAAACATATTTTAAATCGGCTCCTAGAAGAAAAGTCTACTTTAAACGTAATTAAACATTTACTAAACTAACAAAAAAAAACCACCTTGAATGCCCAGGTGTTTGTGTTTTGTTTGATTTTTTTAAGCTCCAGGCTTTTTATGGAAAAATCTGTGGCCGCAAGTCCCAGCGCCATTCTTTCATGCGAAATTGTTATGATTTTACAACAATATTATTTTTCCATCAACAACATCAGCAAAAATCAATCAAGTTCAATTAAAATGCCGCCAACACATGCAAAAAGGATAATCCACACACACACCACACACAGATACTGGCAAAATGTCGAACAGAAAAAAAAGAAGGAAAACATGTGGACGCCAAAATGCAATTATCAAAAATTAATTTTGTACACAAAATACAACAAAAAAATAAAGTTTGTCAGTGGCAGAAATTAAAATGCCAATTATAAATTGTAATTAAGAGATGAAAAGTTCAGAAATGAGTTTAAATATTCGATGTTCCTGGCAAATCAATCAAACCTAATTGCATGCGTAAAGGCGACTATGTAAACACGATAATAACATTTACACTGTTGCACACACCCACATCATCCTGCACACCACACACACCATACAGACACCCACTCGGACACAAACACATCCACAGATGTGTAAGAATAAATTTATTTATGTTAATGCGCAAATACGAAAAAGACAAATGCTGGCTACAATATTGTTTTATATATTTTTGCCTAAATGCCATAGAATGTATGCGAATGTGGGTGTTTTTTGTGCGTGTATAAAGCTTACATTTACACAAGTGCAAAAATTCCCAAAACACAAATCCTAAAAAAACATTTGTTACTTTTTGTATCCAGGGTCCAGGGACGAAAGGCCCGGCCCAAATGCACGGGGGCTGTGACCACACAAACGTACACGCACACCCACCTAAGCACACACACAGACACAGGACATGATGCAGGCCACCGTTTTGCATTGGTATTGGTAAGCTTTGTGGCAATAAAAGGGTATATATATATGTATGTGTGTGTGTGTGTTTCGTGTGTTGGCATAAGCGTAGTCCTGGACGAATAAAATCCGCCAAAGGGGCCGACAACTCTTTCAAAAATATTCACTTTATTATTCCACAACATCAAAGTTGTTTCAGCCAAAGCAGTTTAATCTTTCAGGTATTTTTAAATTGAAGATAAATTTGTCTTTAAGTGGAAATTATAAATGATATTCACGATGGTTTACTATTTAATATAATGCTTTGATTTTTATGGAGAGTTTATTTATGGGAATTGGTAATGTAATTCTATAAACTATATAAATTATGTCTTTCACCTAATAAATATTAAATCTCAAGATGATATTTTTTGATTAACTTTTCAGATATAAGTTATATAATAAATATATTCATAGCTATATCCTTAAATATATCTTTAAACCCTCTTTAGTCTACGTCTTTAATAAAAACTCTGCTCGTTTCTGCTTGTAGTTGACCAAACAAAAATTGCATGAATATTGTTGGAATAATCGTTGGCCCGGAATCCACAGACCTGGACAAATTCATTTCGCTCCGATGTCTTCTTCGATATAACCATGTGTGTGTTTTGGCCCGCACCGTCCCTTGGCCCTCAGCCGTCAGCCCGTAGCCCTTTATCCCTGAATCTGATCGAAACCCCTGTCGCCACAGCCTCATTGAGCATTTAGTTTGTAGTTCTCTTGTTGCGCATGAATGTACAACATTTTATCTATTCGAGCTCGTAAATTCGAGATTATTTTGTGGTGTATTTAAATTTAGCAAAACAGTCTAAGGACAGAACCGATAGGGAGTCCGCTGGCTCTGTGTGTAAGTAAAGCCAAGGCGCACCATTCCCATCTCGTTCTTCTTCTCGAAATTAAAGTGAATTTTGCGGTTTGACTGCCAGAGATGAAAATAGGCCTGACAGAGGCACTTGAGGAGTCGGATATACCCATACCCATATCTATCCATACCCATTTGCCATTCCCATACCCATTGCCATCTATTTGCCCACTCTGGCTTGCTCTTGGTCTTTCAACTTGAATGCAATTAGAAAGTAAAACGACTACAAATTGTCTTGCCTCCGGGGCATTGATTGATTTCCAAGGAAATGGGGAAATTGACGCAGCAGATCCCCGATTTTAGAGTCAGAAACAGTAGCAGCCAAGCGATACGAAGAGCCAGCCTTCTATAAATACATCTCCTTTTTACATCTCCTCCTTGAGTGCATTAGGAGTCCAAACCAATGAAAGCAAAAACACATGTAAGAAGACGAAACATTTCTAATGACTGCGGTGACACTTTTGTGGAAGTGCACACCCATACTGCAGCACACCCATACCGATCCCATTGCATCCCATATAGTACTACATATATACCACACGGATACGGGGAAAAGTTTGGGAGCGGGGAGTTGAGTTGCATACCTGTGCATTCTGCCGGATAAAATTAGAACGTGAAAGTCGCTGCAGTTGACAGCGTAAAAATGTGTGAACTTAGAAACAGGAAAACGTCGGCGGGGTGCCGTCGCTCTCCACCAGACAAAACGGCTTAATACCACTGCAGATATATATATCTTTTAACTATATATAAGTACGTAGTGTAGATGCCTGCTCGAGTACATAAACAAAACGGAATCAATAAAGTCTATAACAAAAGGATTTAATAATTAACACATGCCTCCTGAAGCTACTTGTCTTTTTGATTCATACTCCATAAACATTTTTATTAACTTCTGCAGGTCATAAAAACCCACTATATATAGTCTATGGCATATCTAATAAATAGAGAAATAGAGACACTATTTATAATTATTAAAATAAAAAAAATGATATAGTTTCTATGAGAAGTATGGGAGTTTAAACAAAATCTTAAACCCATCATGCTATTATTCAAGACCCTTTTTTCCAAGCTTTTTGTTTAATATTTTCCCATCCAACCCACTGTGCCAGCGTGTCTGTGTGGAGTATCTGTGTGTTAATGCGACAAAAGTGGACTGGTGTGAGTGCCGACTCGACTATCGACTCGCCAGAACAAAAACCATCGTCGGCGACTTCGAGGTCCGGCGATCAGTTGAGTTTTGTGCGTTGTGCGGTGAAGTTGCGCCTCCGTTCCCAAAGATACTCGAGCTGTGTGGTGCATCCTTGTCAGAGACTCCTGAGACCATAAACCGAAAAATATTAAAAAGGGCTGCGCAGTCGCAAACGCTTTGGTTTTCTTCAATAAAATCACCAAATAAAACAGAAATATGAGAGAAATTGTCCATCTGCAGGCCGGCCAGTGCGGCAACCAAATCGGCGCTAAGGTAAGAGCCACTACTTTTTATTTCATTTAGCGTTTTTTTGCGGTGCGTTAATTTATTCACATTGACCGAAAACGTTTTTCAATGAGTTTCCAAAACGATCGGGCTGTGTCTCGGGCAGTTCGATGTCGCCGCCTTTTTCAGCGCATTCAGCAATTAAAGCAAAAGAAAATTGACATCACAAAAAATGCCAGCGAAAAATAAAAAATAAAATGTTAAATAAAATGCAAAGTGCAAAAAAAGTGGGCAACCAAAGAGGTTTATTTGGCACTCGAGATGCCCTTTCGTCTCCGTTCGACCGACTGGAAAAAAAATCACAAAAAAAAACGGGTTGGGCCGGCTGCAGATCACGAAAAGTGATTCATTGCGAACCCTCCCGGGGGAGTTCTCGAGGGATGGGGTTTGAGAGAATTATGGCATTCTGGGAGAAAAGGCGCAAATCACCAACCAAAAAAAAAAATAAGTAAAATAAAATTGCAGTTCTTCTTCAGTCTTGCACTTGGCCGCGAAGGGAAATCTTACCAACTATCTGATGGTGAAATCTTTTCGCTTTGGTTGAGTTTCCTGCACTCGCCCAAGAAACCACAAAATATTGCAATAAAAAACTAAGCACTTCTCCAGACGAAAATCGTTGAGCAGAAATTATGATTAATTCAAAAGAAAGCTTTCAGTTCCAATTCATTAGAATTGTTTTCTACACAGTATCAGTAGCACTCGGGTATAGTCACCGAATCGGATCGCTAGAATCGATGTCGCTAGAAGCGATGTTCCATCGCAGTATACAATGATAGGGAAAACTCCCTGCCAACTGGGGTCTAGTCGATCGAAATGACTGAGAAACGGAAACTCGAGATAGGCAGACGAATCAGAGCAATTAGGCTCTGATTTCCAGCCGAGCATTCTCAATTATCTCCTATATATAGGATAGTCCACTCAATCAGCACGCCCCGAAAACTCTGGCCTCTCCATCTCGAAACCGAAACCGAGACCGAAACCGACGCTTGTTTCGACTGGGTTTTTGGCAATACCAGTTTGTGGCCAATACAAAGTGGGTCCCCAGACGAATGCATTTTTCTGTGGCACCAATGTCAATGATTAGCGATTCGCCACCAATCACCGCCCCATGCAAAGTGGGTCGCTCTGAGCTCGCCGAGTCAACAGCCAGCTAGTGCTGATAAAGAATACCTTATTATCTTATGGAGAAGATAAGCCGCCGGATCTTAATCATTTGATATGAGTCAATTGGCGATAGAACGACGAGGGCAGGCAGCCAGCAGAGTCAGCAGTCAGCAGTTAGCGAGCAAGCAGCTTCAATTTAAAAGTAAACTCGGCTGTCTTTTGTGTTTCCCGGAATTTCGGCAATAGTAATGGTTTTATGGAGCAGCCCAGTACTTTACGCAAAAAGAGGTACAGATACGATGGGAAGTTTGTCTTGGTAATTTGAGCAGCGTACCTCCCCGTAATGTGAGACCCACAAAAACAGAAAGAAGAAATCATAAAAAAAAGAACAGCTGAGTGGACATTTAAAAAACAAGAATGTGACAAGCGGTAGCCTAAGTCCGCACTTGAATACAGATGCCGATTGGTCTTGAAAACCGCACAAGTGCAGGACTAGCCTGGGATGGGGGGACGTTGAGGATAGGAAGTGAGTCACCCGGACTGGCAAAAAGGCTGCAATGTATACTGTTACAGGATATCGGGGTTACACACATACCCCCCTATAGCATATGATTTTCTGATTAATTCCTCTGTTTCCGTTTTGGGCCGCAAAACGATGAATGCATATTAAATAAAAGGCCTCCGAGATTATATTCAAGAGGCGGGCAAGTCAATAAACCCAGCAGTCTGCTTATCTCCTCTCGGTTTCTTATTCTTTTTTTTTATTTTTTTGACACCCCAAGAACAGCTGGGAGAGAAAAGACAAATGCCTGCAATCGCCTCCGCCACCCCACTTCAATTAAAAGAATTCCTTTTGATGCCAAATGTTTTATATCTCGCGAATAAATACGTTTGCACTGTCTCTTTGCATACTTGCACTGGCTGGAAGTCAGCGATCCTCTGCAGAGAAAGAAGAAAGACTGGCTCCAAGTTCATGCCCGAGTGATTTCTTCTTCAAGATTCGAATAGACAAGAGGCAGGGCCGTTGCTGTTGCAGTTGCAGTTGCAGTTGCTGGTGGAGGAGTCTTCTTGGCGGCTTCCAGACATGCAACACTTAATGAGGGCGTCTCGATTGCCAGTCGCCAGATGATCGCATGCGAGGGGCGTGGCTGGGGGGCCAGGCCAGTTGCCAAGCAGCAGCAAAGCTTTTGAAATTAATTACACGAAAGAAAATAGTTGCAGGGAGGGGGCTACGAAAATTGTTAGAGCAGATGTTGCCCGTAATTGGAGAAGAGTTTGGAAAATGTATTTCAAGAAATGAATGATACAAGCATGAATGCAGCTATAAACAGAAATTAATACATTTTCTAATTATAAACACAAAATGCTGAGCTGTGATTGCATTCTTTGGGCAGCAGATCGTGATTGCCACAAATAACAAAATCCTGCCAAAAAAGAGACATCAATCTATAATTACAATCTAACAGCAACTCACACCTCTGGGGCCACTGCGGCAACTGCAACATTCACCTCCGAAAACAGTCATTTACCGACAAAGCCATTATCATCAAAATGAAAAATTCGAAGTGAAAAATTGGTCGAATGTAAAAGTAAAGCGATCAGTGATGGTCGTGCCAGAAGCCAGGGGAAATGGGAAATGGGATGGATGGAGAGACAGTGGCAGAGGAAGGGGGCACATGAAAAACGACTTTTCACTTCAACAGTTTTGTGTGCTAATTTAGTTTTTCATATTTGTTGTTTCGGTTGCCCGGCCGGCCTTATAAACCGAGCTTTATTGTTCGGGCTGTTATGGTTAGCTTCATAATTGCAGCGGCCACACTCCAATTAAATTTGATGATCTTGCTAAGATTGCAGTTGCCTGAGATTCAGTTTTGTTGATTTAGTCTTTTTCTCCGCTTGTTCATCTCATTCTGCTTTTTAAATAAACAAAGAAATGCAGACGCCATTGGATAGAGTCGGTACCCCCTTAAATCGTTCGGCAGGCCCCCCTCTTTCGGGTGTTTATAGTCGCACACGTCAAGTTCAAGTGCCAAAGGGAAACAACTCAGACATCGCAGCGGCGACAAGACAACAGGAATTTAGCCGAGCCCGGGACCGGTACCGGGACCGGGGTACTGCTAACATTTTTATTATTCCCCTTTGTTTCGAATCTCGGATGTGTCTTGTATCCGAAAGTATCTTCGGTATCCGAAAGACCCCAAAGACCTATGAGATCCGAAACTGTTGCCAAGCAAGCTGCGTTTCGCTCCATGATTTCGAGAGCCAATCCCGAAAATAATCCAAAAACTATGAACCCCAATTTGAGTGGCTAATGAACAACTAAGTTCACCAAATTTGGTCCGTTTCTTGTTAAACGCAGCACAACAATTGCAGAGCACTTCCTCAATAAATCTGCTAGATGATTGTTTGTGTATCCATGAGCTACTTAATTTATAGCATTTCGATTGGGATTCGAATTTTGAGGAGGGGATGATGCCCTCTTCTAATGATGTCTCGTAGTGGGTCGTTGGCCTGCAGTTGCCACAGGCGAGAGGCCAGAAGTTTCGGATGATGACTCAGCAGTCACTATAATATAGTATATATCTCTTCTGGCGGTCCCATCCCACGGGCTGGTCTATTTTTAAGTGCATTTCTCGTCGCCGCGCCGTAAGGCTGCTGCAGAGGAGCACCCCAGGAGCGTGGTGTGGAAATTTTGTCCCATACAGTGAGAGTCCCATACTATTTTTTATTCATTTTTTTCCGCCGGCCCGGTCGCATCTTTTAAATTTACCACTAAATCAGGGCATGTTCGTCGGCGTCCAAAACTGACGTTGGAAAAACTAAACATAAATTTATTTTCCCTTACCCATCCTTTCTCTTTTTTCCTATTTTTTTTTTTTGGGCAATCTGTCTCACTTTTGATGGCACAGGCCCCCTATATGGGCATATCCCAAAACACATATATTTTTGTATATTTTTTCAAAAAATCCAACCAAAAAAACCTCAAACTTTATGGGCTGCGGCTGCGCCTTGTTGTTTGTCACATTGTCACATCGGAGGAGGCAGAAACAGAAATTTTTAGAATTGTTCTGTGTTGTTCTAGTTGTTGATTTTGGTTTGGTTTGGTTTGGGTTATTCCTCATCCTCCTCCCCCTCTGAGTGGTTTCTGTGGCTGCGGCCATATGTCAAGGCTCAACATGAACTCTGACTGGACTGACACGGCTGGGTGGGCACAATTATTCAATTTGATGTACGATTTCGGAAAAATATAGTAACGCCTTGAGCTAAGATAAAGAGCTCAGCATGAAGGGTTTGATGGATAGTTTAAGGCCTGGATTTTAAGGATCACTTCACTAATGGGCTATACTTCTTCTTACAGTTCTGGGAGATTATTTCCGAGGAGCATGGCATCGACAGCAATGGCATCTATGTCGGCGACAGTGATCTTCAGCTGGAGCGCGTTAGTGTTTACTACAACGAGGCATCTGGTAAGACATATCCATACAATCGTTATCATCCCGGCTTGCCTGATTGTATCCTTTTATCTCTTTAGCTGTGAGCCGGTCCTCAGGGGGAAAGTATGTGCCCAGGGCCATCCTGCTCGATCTCGAGCCAGGCACCATGGAGTCGGTGCGTTCAGGTCCCTACGGACAGCTCTTCCGCCCGGACAACTTTGTCTTCGGCCAGTCGGGTGCCGGCAACAACTGGGCCAAGGGTCACTACACCGAGGGCGCCGAACTGGTGGACAATGTCCTGGATGTTGTGCGCAAGGAGTGCGAGAACTGTGACTGCCTGCAGGTGGGTATCCCTCCTCCAAGAAGTATATAAGATGTTTAAATCAAAATCATTCCATAGGGCTTCCAATTGACCCACTCTTTGGGCGGAGGTACTGGCTCCGGCATGGGCACCCTGCTCATCTCCAAGATCCGCGAAGAGTATCCGGATCGCATCATGAACACCTACTCGGTGGTGCCCTCACCGAAGGTCTCCGACACTGTGGTGGAGCCCTACAACGCCACTCTGTCGATCCACCAGCTGGTGGAGAACACAGACGAGACGTACTGCATCGACAACGAGGCCCTGTACGACATCTGCTTCCGCACCCTGAAGGTGTCCAATCCCAGCTACGGAGATCTGAACCACTTGGTTTCGTTGACCATGTCCGGAGTCACCACGTGCCTGCGCTTCCCCGGCCAGCTTAACGCCGATCTGCGCAAGCTGGCGGTCAACATGGTACCATTCCCGCGTCTGCACTTCTTCATGCCCGGCTTCGCGCCGCTCACCTCCCGCGGCTCCCAGCAGTACAGGGCCCTGACCGTGCCGGAGCTGACCCAGCAGATGTTCGACGCCAAGAACATGATGGCCGCCTGTGATCCGCGTCACGGCCGCTATCTGACAGTGGCCGCTGTCTTCCGAGGACGCATGTCCATGAAGGAGGTGGACGAGCAGATGCTGGCGGTGCAGAACAAGAACAGCTCGTACTTTGTTGAATGGATTCCCAACAACGTGAAGACCGCCGTGTGCGACATCCCGCCGAAGGGACTGAAGATGTCCTCGACGTTTATTGGCAACACCACGGCGATCCAGGAGCTGTTCAAGCGCATCTCTGAACAGTTCTCGGCCATGTTCCGGCGTAAGGCGTTCCTGCATTGGTACACCGGCGAGGGCATGGACGAGATGGAGTTCACCGAGGCGGAGAGCAACATGAACGACCTGGTGTCGGAGTACCAGCAGTACCAGGAGGCCACCGCCGACGACGAGTTCGATCCGGACGTTAATCAGGAGGAGGTCGAGGGCGATTGTATTTAATGGTGTGGCCAGAGGAATGAGGTGCGTGCGTGAGGAGAGGGGACGCCTGTTTCTGCGTGGCATGCGGCAGCAGCTGTCGGCCAAGCACTGCAGCATCCTCTGACACCAAACTACACACACAGGCACACAGTTACACTCACCACTACTGACACACAGCACACGGACAGCCACACAACACAACCACGGATACTGACAGCCAGACACTGAGACACGGAGACACCGGAGACACCCCGACCGACAGACAGGAAGGTCAAGCGTAGTTAGAACATCAAACGGAAATGTTCCAAAAAGCTCATACGTCCTCCTCGCCCATCTTTCTAATTGTATCTCTAACCACTATCATCTATCATCTCACAACTCGCATCTGTCATCCCAACCTTCATCTTCATCTTTATCATATTTTTGTGTCACCGTCCACTACGCTATTTACACTTTACACGGAGGCACGTCTATCGCATTTCTCGCAGCCATTTTCACCCGTTTTTCCAGCCCAGCTTTCCATCACTCTTCCCACAATCACCGAACATTTTTTCACTAATTTAGGAAACTCATCATATCCTGAGTTTAATACGATTATTTATCGACAACCACAAGTATCTAGTATTTCAAATAAAAACGAATTTATACAGAAATCTCGAGAAATGTCCAAGAAAATTTGCACTCAAGACTGACGAAAGCAGTTTGGCAATAAAAAGATATATACATATATATATATAGAGTTATATATACATGATATGATACATGATACAAGCTTATCCAAAGATAATCGACAACTCTCATGAGGTCCTCCAATAAAGGCAATTTCTAAAATCATCCGCAATTGTATTTACATAATCTTAGGGCACAAACTATTAATTTTGTATTCGTGTGCAGTACTTTCTCTTGTAGTTTTATATAAAAATAAAAACATTTTTACCCAAATAAATGACTAATAATGGCAAATGGTTTTTGGCAAACTAATAAATGAGTATTTGTTTTGGAATATGAATGGTATTTTCTTTGGAAAAGAGTGCAGAACGGATAGAATCTTTTGAGAAGAATTGAAGGTTGTTCTAAAGATTGTAGAATTTAAAGTTAGGCGCCATTTTATTAAGAAAACTGAAAGAGAAGATTGTGCGCTAAAAAGTATGCTATACTTTTTGTGTTAACCAAGCTTCCGTTGAATAACAAAAGATGGCGCAAAATTGTGGCACAACGGTCCTCTGTGTTAAATTATTTCTTATTTCTAGTAAAAAAATTTTCAATTTTATTAAATTTTTTCTGCTTTTTTTTAATTTTTATTCTTTATTTAATATTTTTTACACATTTTTATGGGAAATATTGTAAAGACACCAATTGGACCAGTGCGGCAGAACCTATAAGCTTGTTTCCACCAGAGGTCGCTTTTCAGACGTTACTTCCGTAAACAAATATTTCAAATGTGGATCAATTAATATTGTCTTTCAGCTAAATTAATTTAAATTTAATAAATTTGTTTTCAAAGAAAAAATGTATATATTTACAAGAGGTAATAATATATTAGGTTTTTTGGTAAGACCCATCCTAATGAATCTAGAAATATATAATTAAAGATCTAAATAACATTATGATAGACCTTTTGGTCGTAGGCTTATGAGAATATTTATGAGAATAATCTAATTTCCCAAAAGCGACTGCCTACCCTTTAACCGAAATCTTTCCCATCTAAAGTCAACGTGCCACACACAAGAGGCACACACAGTGGATATGATTGTCGCACAAACCTTTCCATTAACTGACTCTCTCAGACCTCATATGCTACAAATTCCCCAGAATTAAAAGACATTAAACGTATTAAGCGGTCTCGTGACACAAGCAAGGCTTTACATAAAAAAAAAACAAACCAATAACAAAGTCGGCTAAGAACAAAACACCAGACATACGGAACTGAAAATGGTAAGAAGTAACTGCAAGAGAGAACCAGTTTTTAGACTGTTTAAGCCGGAGCCGGCCGGCGTTTTGAATGACGACGAGAACTTTGGGCCGAGAACATTTTGGAAGCCGGCAAAACATTATAACACGTTCTTTCGTCTGAGACTGAAGTGACCGGTTAAAGTGCGTTTAACCGTTATTAAGTCATACCCAAAAAGGTCAAAGGAGGGGTTATCCAGAGCGGAAATTCCCCCTCTTTTTATAGCTGAGAACTTGGCTTGGAAAACTGGGCCAATTAGGATGACTAATATCTCCGCAGATGGAGTATAAGGTATGCATTTATGCAACTTTATTCATGGAATTGGCGTTACCCTTTTCTCGCTGTGTGGCAGCGGCAGCAGCATCTCACAGAAATAGGCAAATGAAAAAGCAATAAAATTGTTGCCAACTTACACTCATTTGGCGCCGTCATCCAAAAAGCCAGTCCGCCAGAAGGAGGCAACAAAACACGAAGCGAGACAGCAGCGGCAGCAGCAGTGATTGACCCAGTTTTCCAAGACGACAACAACCCACCAACCTACCTATACCTATGCCCAGGTATACCTGACGCCGATCCGATCCTCTTTGACTGACTTCGGAGCTGCAGCTATTTGTGAAGTTGCAGCCGAAGCTGAGTCTAAAGCTGGAGAGTTGGACTTGCTGGGGGAAGTGCATTGCACTCGCTGAAACTGCTGCTGCTGCTGCAAAAAAAAGATAGAAAAACATAACACAAGACAACAAAAAATCAAATAAAAAAATCTTGTTTTTTCTGTTAGTTGCCGATTCTTCAGAAAGCTAAAAAACGAAACTTGCTCAAAGTGGCAAGGAGACAAGAGCTGCAGGGGGGGCTGATGGGTGGCTAGAAGCCAGGGGGGGCACATGCAAACAACACGTCAATGCACTCTGTGGTAGCCACCGCAAACGCCTCGACTAGTTTAGATTGGACTTAGACAACGTCGGCTAGACCCGATCTTAGCTGTATTTTGATTTTCTGCCATCTATTTTCTGCACGGCCAGAAAAACAAGTACAACTACTCTAAAATTAAATAAAAATCCAAATAAATAATAGAGTTAATCAAGAGTAAGTAAACCTACTGCAATCATTGAAGTTTTAATGAAATCTTTAAAGCACAAACTATATTTTCCTGTGCATGGGCTTTCAGTTTCTCTGTTGTCTTTTGTGGTTTGCAGACAAACACGAGTAGAACAACAATAACAAGACAAATTGCAGCTAGGAAAATCCGGCAAGACCCCCACACGAAAATGTACGCCTGACTTGGTCATTGATGCGACCGCACACAGCTAGTCTAGGCCCGAAAATCCAAAGCCAGGCCCGAGCATATGTTGGCAGACGTTCACTTGCGGCGTTGCCAAGTTTCTGGCCCCCAAGTGGCCAACAAGTGCGGCTCCAACAAAGTGCAGCGGAAGTGCTTCAGGTGAGCCTCGGCTTGTCTTGTCTTTTGGCTGGGCTGGGCCTCCCAAGCCATCTGAATTTTACCAACAGTCAAGTTTTTAATAAGCAACAAAACACTCTCGGCACTGTCATAAACGTATGATGTATGAAAAGTTTTAAGAGCTTTGGCCCAGTGCATGCAGATTATTGGCTTAAATCAATCCCACTAAAAGCCATGTTTAGCCAAGGACGAATCGAGCTTAATTCGAGTCATTTCTGTTGGTTATTAAACTCTTGATAGTTTTCATTAATCACCTTCCGCAACATGGCAGTTCTAGAAGCGGTTTGGGCTAAAAATTTCCAATGCCTAGAGCTGGTGTGGTTTCTGGAAACAGCTACTACCTTGCACTTTTTGGAATTGACAATGCTGCATCTCATAAATATGCACCACATTCTTCTATTCTATTTGTATCTGTTGTTTATCAGCCAAAGAGTTCAATATATGCCGACTGCTTACCGCTTACCGATAAGTCTAAGAACTTGCTTCCTTTAAGCGGTGGCGGCTTCATCGAAATGCACATTTATTCGTTTGCAGTATATCTATGTATCTGCTAGGTGGCAAGGCAATCAATCAAGCAACAGGCGGCTGCGGCAGCAACAGCTACCCAGCTATAGATACTCAGTGCAATGAGCTGCGACAATCAAATTAGCATTTGCATCAAATCGCATTGCAAATTTGCGCCGCAGAGCTGCCGAGAAGAGCTCCATGCTGGACACTTGGATTCCTTTTCATTTCATTCAGTTGGCAATACTTGGTTATTAACACCTAGTTGCCTGTGCGCCTGCCTGAACGGAGCTACATACCTGAGGCAACCGAAGACTCATTAGACAAATTGCCCAGCTTCGATTTGATTGATTTGAGGCAATTGCAATTACAAATGGCCAAAGAAGAAAAAGTGCCTGCCACTGGTTGTGTCGCTGGTTTTGTAACGCAGGCCTGTAAGCCGGGCCAGAAACTGGAGCAGAGTGGGCTGCGAAGAAGCCTGCCTTTCTTGGGAATATAAAACATGAAAATGTGCCATAACGGAACCGCCAGAAGTACTTTGTTAACAACGAAGTTTAACTGTTAAGCGACGTGCGTTATACAAATGTCAACGGTTAATAAACCCGGCCAAAATGTAACTCCAGACGGACCACAGACCTGGCATTATGGCCAGATTCCACGAATTGGCAGGCGATAAAATATGGTCGGAGGAAGATCTGGTCGCAGCCAAAACAGTGGCTAGAGGCTAAGAGCAATTTTGGCCGCAATATGGAATTACTGCCAGCGACAAGATGCACTTTGGCAGTAGGCACTGTTATAGCCACACAAGACATGTATTTGCGTTGTCTGCCCGCCACGCCCACCGCTCGATTCCAAAGTTAATTAACACACAATCATCCAACACCAACACACCAGCCAAAATCTAATACCAGCCAAGAGCTCACAAAATAAAGAAAAGCCGAGAAACAGAAGAGAAAAATGCAATACGTCGGCACTTCAATGCGCGAGAATGCACCGAAATTAGCCAAAAAAAAAAAATGGCATGAAAAAAATTAACTAAAAAATAAAAGAGTAAAGAAGAAACAGAAATTAAAGTTGTAAGATTACAACAGTAGCAGTAGCAGTGCTTTAAATGCATGTGTATTCAGCGGCGGTGGCAGAGGAGCCAGCCATGTGAACCAATTTGTGGCATCAATCTCAGGCGTGATGTGAAATTGGCCAAGAC